GACCGCCCACCCCTGCCGGGCTGGAGACGACGCAGGTGTAGAGCCCGGCATCGGAGAGCTGTGCCTGGGAGATCCTACCCCATGGAGCGGGACACGGGGACGGGGAGGAGATGTCAGCTCCAGGTCCCCTCCCCTGCCCCCCAGGGTCTCCATGCTGACTCACAGCCACCTCTGGGGTGCAGCCGTGGCCAGCCCGGCACGCAAACCTCCTGGGTACCAGCCCCAAAGCCTGGGGCTGAGAATTGCTCCAGGGTCACTTCTTACCGGAGGATGTGCCCAGCTGAGCAAAGGGTGACACGGGGAGACAGGCGCAGGGGCAGCCCGTCCTTCAGCCAGCTCACGTGCAGTGGAGGGGACCCCCGTGCCCAGCACTCCAGTGTTACTGCTGCGGACAGGACACCACGGACCACCTCCGAGTCGTCAGCACCTCTTTCGATGGCAGGGGGGACTGGGCGAGGGGACAGAGGGGCTGACAGGGCTGTTGAGGGTGGGTGGCCCTGGTGCTGCCCCGTGAGTCCCAGCCCCACTCACCCAGCACGCTCAGCGTGTGCAGCCGCACATCTTCGCCTGCGCTGTTTCGGGCCAGGCAGCTGTACACCCCTGAGTCGGCAGGTTGGAGCCCCTCAAGGAGCAGGGAGCTGCCGTCTGGGGACATCCTGTGTGGGGAGGATGGGACAGTGACCTGTGTGTCCGTCCCTATCGCATCCATGGGGCAGAGATGCTCTGTGCTTGGTTGCAACCCAGGCTGGAGGTTTTGGGGTGTGCTGCAAGGCCAGTGCAGGAGCTGGGACCCTGCCAGGGTGACAGCAACCGCGCCAGGCTGCAGCACCATCCAGGACACCAGGGCTTAACCCAGGATGATGCTCCTCAGCAAACAGCTGGCAGGAGCATGTCCCAGCCCAAGCAGCAGAGCTCAGCCTGCCTTGTAGTGTTCTTTTGTGCATGGGGAAACTGAGGCACAGATGGAGCGGTCACCCCTGCCCAAGACTCACCGGGTGCGTGAAGGGGGCTGCAGCCCCAGGGGCTGCCCATCCTTCAGCCAGGAGATCTCAGGGGTGGGCTGCCCCTCCGCCCGGCACTCCAGCCTCACCCCTTTGCCCTCCAGCACACTGTACTCGCTGGGGACCCCCACGCTGGCGATCCGGGGTGCCACTGTGCCAAGAAGAGAAGGAGGCTGAGGAAGAGGAGAGGGAGGAAAGCTCCCCTCTCATGAAGAGCGCTCAGGGACCACCACCACCCTGGGGAAGCCCTACCTCGCACCAGCACCACGAAGTCCTTGCGTGTCTCGGCGCCCGGGCCCTGCGCCAGGCAAGTGTATCGGCCCTGATGGAAGGGCTGCAGGGGGCTGAGCTGGAGCTGCCCCCCCGCAGACACCAGGCCCTGCTCCGGGCTGCTCTCTGCGAGGAGATGGGGTGAAGGGGGCTGCAGCACTGCTCCTCCACAGAGCCCTCCCCAGGCACCTTGTCACACTCCCTCCTTCCCACCCCAGGACCCAGGTTTGGGGACTTGGTTAAAGCAGAGGTCGGGGCTGTGCAGAGCAGGGTGTTTGCACTGTGCATTGCTGAGCTTTGCAGGAGAAAAGATCCACTGTTCCGGGGGCAAAGCCCCGTGCCAGCAGGTATCCCAAGGGCTGGTACCCAGAGAGCTCACCCCCACGTCTCTCCATCACATCCCATGCCCGCGTCCTCAGGAATGAATCTGAGGCCTCTTAGCTGCACGGAAAATGCCAATCCCTTCCTGCTTTGCCTCCTCCCCTCTAAGGCCCTGCAGTTGTCTGGCAGCAGGATTAAAAGTGGGGAAACTGAGGCAGGACAGCTCCAGGCAGGGCAGCGGTGAGGCTCAGGGATGGCAGCGTCCCCCTGTGCCCATACCCAGCAGGCTGCCGTCCTTCAGCCAGGTGACAACGGGCGCAGGCACACCGCCGACTTGGCAGGTCAGGACAAGAGGGCTCCCCACGTCAGCATCCAGCATCTCCTGCTGCGGGTCCTGGGTGCCCGGGGGCTCTGAGGAAGAGGAGCGGGGACGGGGGGCGTGAGCAGGAACACACGGACCAGGGTTTGCCATCAGCTCCTCGGTGTGCGCTCGGGGGGCAGAGCTCCCAGCCAAGCCCTCGCCACTTACCGTGGACAGTGAGGATGAAGCGCTTCTCATCCCGGCTGGCCACATTCAGCACCACACACGTGTACGTGCCCGAGCTGGAAAGCTGCAGGTGAGGGACCTGCAGCACCCGTGAGCCTGGAAGAAGCGGAAAGCGGGGAGTCAGGGTGGGCTGGCACCGGGACCGAGTCCAGACCATTGTGCCAGCAAGGTGACCTGTCCCCCAGCAGCCAGCCAAGCTCCATGCAAGAGGTGTCCGGCCATCAAAGTCTCTTGCTGAGGTCCGAGGGCTCACTGTGCACAGCAGAGAAGGGTGCTGAGCTCCTGGGGAGCAGCAGCACAGAGTTCGCAGGATGTAGCCTTGGTCCTTTCCAAAACGGATCACTTGGCAGTAAGTTGTTAGTGTGAAAGACTCAGCTCGCGTCCCACTCGCGGCATCCAGAAGAGCGGGTTAAGGGAGTTAGAGCCCACCATCAAGAGCCAGCAGCTGTGCCAGGCCCTGGGGACAGGCTGTCATCATTGCTCCTCCCAACGTACCTGGGGTCACCGTCCCCTCCTCACCAAGCCGCAGGACATGGCCATCCTTGTACCAGGTAATATCTGCAGTGGGGTGGGATTGGACATCACATGCCAGCGAGATGCTGCCGTTGACGATGCCATCAATGCTTTCGGGGTTTGGACCCGTGATCCGGGGTGCTTCTGCTCCGGCACACCCCAAAAGACAGCACCAGAGGGGAACCGTCACTGCAGAGGCTGAGGTCTCCCCTGGGCTCCCCAGGGGGAAACGTGCACCAAGCATCTCGTCTGCTCGGAGCATGCCGACACCTCAACCTCCTCGCATGGGGCAAGTGCGACAAGCACAGGAGGACAGAGGCAGCCACGTGCTTCAGGAGCCGTGGGAGACTCCAGCTGGCAGAGGAGGAGGAGGAGGAGGAGGAGGGTAAGTCAGCAACCTGGGGAAGGGTTGCTGGGGATGCCTTACCCTGCACAGCGAGGGCAAAGCGCTTCTCGGCTGACCCGGCTGGGTTCTCAGCCACACACGTGTAGCTGCCAGTGTCACCGGCCTCCACCGCGGCCACCTGCAAAGGGGGAGCAGAGCCCTGCTGAGGGCTGCTCTGAGCTGGGGAGCTGCTGGGGCTCCCACGGGGACCTTGGCACCTGGAAAGTCCAGGGCAGCCTCCTCTTTGGGGAGGGAAGAGTGCCCTGACTCCTCCACCCAGTATCTCCTGTGCCCTCCCCAGCACAGCCACCCTGCCCAGGGACACACCGACCTGCAGGACCGTGCCACCCTCCAGGAGCTGGTGCCGTGGGCCGGCAACAACGGGGACGTCATTCCAGAGCCAGGACACCGTGGGCACTGGGTGTCCGATGGCTTCACACTTGAAGCGGACGGTGCCGTTGACGGTGGCCATCATCTCCTCAGCCAGGTCATCCGTGCATGCCCGGGGCGGCTGGGAGCAGACAGTTACAGGGCTGCTACGTGCCTCCACCCGCTCCCCACGCTAGCCCCGTACTCACTCAGCACCTCCAGCTCGTAGTGCAGACGGTCCTGTCCTGCCGCGTTGGCCGCCTCACAGGTGTACCTGCCCGCAGCAAGGGATTGGAGGGTCCCCTCCAACCTCCCCTCCCACCTCGCTGTGCCTGAGCCCCCAGGCAGCCCCCATGACGCGGTCCTGTTCCTGCAGGTCCCCTGGGTGCTGCACATGCTGGCAGGAGCAAGGGGACAGGATCCAAACCCCCCTCATGCTATGGATGCTCTCAACCCACAGAGCTGCTGCAGGAACCCCCTCCCAAACCCCACACCGAGGGTCCATGTCCATTACCTAGCAGCATCAGCACCCCTGGACCAGGGGAGAGACGCTCCCCGTCCTTGTACCAGGTGAGCCGGGGAGGTGGGATCGCATTGGTGTCGCAGTAGAGCGCGGTGGGCTGGTTGAGGACAGCCTGTCGGTGCTCCGTCACCTCCCCGTCCTGGTCTTCCTCCCGGTAGAAGGTTGCGAGGGCTTCGTTGGGGCTTGTCTGCTGCTGGAAGAGGGGTGGCACTGTGGGGACAGGCTGCGGTCAGCTGTGAGAAATGGGGACTCACACCCCCAGGTGTAACCAGACCATCCGCCTAGGCCTGGCCAGGACCAAGGAGACGCTTGTTTTCCAGCAGATACAAACCCTCTTCCTGCTCACCCTGCTCTGCTCCCACAAGGGATCCCATCAAGAACCCCTCCTCTTGCTGAGACACCCACTGCTCCAGGCACTGGCTGGCTGCCCAGGGCTCACCTTGGACATGCACAATGAAGTCCCTGTCATCTTCACCCACGGCATTGGTGGCCACACAGGTGTAATGCCCTGAATCAGAGACACTGGCTGGTTTGATCTGAAGGATCTGCCCCTCGCTGAGGATCTGGAGGTGACCAGTGCTTTCCAGGAGCTGCATGGGAACCCCAGCCCCAAGGGAGGGAAGAAACAGAAGGAGAAGAGGAGGATTACACACCCAGCGGTAGAACAGAGCCCAGCCAGCCATATAAAGGCTATCTTCCCCCTCCATCCACCTGGGAGGGTCCCCAAAACCAGCAGCTCCTCCCTGGTCACAGCTAGGACCTCACCTGCTTGTCCTTGTACCACCGGATAGTTGGTTGGGGCACAGCCCAGGTCTCGCACTCCAGTGTCACCGTGCTGTTGACCCTGGTTTTCACCTCTTTCATGGCAAATTCCCCCAAAGGGTCATCTCTGGCAATCCAAGGAGGAACTAGTGGGGAGAGACGACACATCTGAGATGAGAGAAGAGCCCCACTGTGGGGTCACTGCAGGAATTAGGAAGGACATGGAGAGTTCCCGCACCCAGGACCTTCACGGCATAGTTCTTCACAGCCTCCCCTGCTTCGTTGTCCACGATGCAGCTGTACGTGCCTGCATCCTCTTCCTGGGCATTCAGGATCTGCAGCCCGTGGCCACCTGGGCAAAGGGAGTCTCCTGAGAGGGTTGCCGCTCACAGCCACGGCTGTCTATCCCCATGCAGCACAAGAAGGCATCTTAAGGGACCGGCTCATCACCTGCAAGCCTGATTTGAGGGCGTCTAATGCTCTTCTAGAGCCCAGTTTCCAGGCTTATAAAAACCAGCACTGTCTCACTGATGCTGCCAAGGAGGCTCTAGCTATTACTGGATGATGCAGCACATGGAAACATCCACCTGATGGCCTGAGCCCTTAGGGTCCTGCAGGATGATGACTTCTCACCATCCCACTGCCCTGAACCACAGTCAGTCCCAGAAAAGGCCCCACTCCCCCGGGCATGCAGACCCAGTGGACAGCAGCACAGTACCAGGGAGCAGGTAGATGTTTCTAGATGCTTTGAGAGGAACCTCGTCCTTGAGCCAGGTGATGTTGGGAGATGAGTAGGCCAGAGCCTCACAGACCAGGGAGATGGGATTGTTGATGATCACTGTGACTTCTTCTGTGGCAGCATCATGCACATCTCCAGCAAAGGTAGGACTGGCTACAGAGATGTTTTTGCATGGCAGATCAGCATTAGCACCCACTTAGGCTTCCCAATGCTTCATTCCCCCACCACAGAGCATGATTCGAGTTCCAGGAGTTGGACTCAACTACAGCACGTGAAATGCACAGCACATACGGCACAAGCCCAGCTTCAGACTCTGCCTTGTGTTGCAGCCCTCCAAAAACACAGGGGACACAGAAGACATGCTCTCCCTTCCCACCAGTCACCATCAGAGATGGATTCTGCACTAGGTGGGCCCTTTATGTTCCTTCAGGAGGTCTCACAAGGGCTTTCTGGCAGGTCCAGGACATCATGCTGTGCTGCTGGCTGTAGCATTAAGGAATCCTCACCACCTACCTGGGGCAGGTAATTAAAAAGCCTTCTAAGTCCATGTTCCCTGCTCACACCTGAGACTTTGCCTCCATCCAAAGGCATCTCATACCTGAAACATCTAGCAGGTAGTGCTTGGTTTGATTCGCCACAGAGTTGAAGGCCACGCAGGAATAGCGGCCAGCGTCAGACAGGGAGGCTCGGGGGATGTGGAGCACGGAGCCATCAGGGGAGATGGAGAACATGTCTTTGATGGGCAGAGGGTGGCCATCTTTCAGCCAGGTGATCTTAGGCTGGGGGTTGCCTGTGTAGGGTGGAAAGCAGGTTTTGGCCTTCGTGCAAAATTTTTCCATGCGTGCGCACAGCCTGACTGGGGTCATAGCGCTGGGGCTTTTCTGGAAAGCAAGGACATGAGCTGAAATCCAAAGTTATCGTGATCTGGATCAGGTTTTTAGAGGCTGCTGGATGAGCCAGCAAGAAGAAAGCAAGCTGTCCTGAGTAGGAGGTGATTAATTATTCCCATCACTAAAGGAGAAACCAGATTAGAGGAATTTTAGCTCCATTTGGGAAAAACTGGAGCTTACGTCGTGGAACAAGCTCCCCGCGTGGGCGCCCCCTCCCCAGCACTTCCCGGACAGCACAACTGCAAAGCCAGGAACTATCCCAAAAAGGCTCTTCAGTGGATTTCAGCTATTTTCATGTCATCAACTGCAGCCATCCATTTGCCCACTGCCCAAAGGGACACTCAGGTCCCTGAGCCCCATCTCCCACCTGCTGATGCCACCTCCACTCCCCATGTGATGCTCACCCGCAGCCAGGCAGGACCAGGTGACAGGGTGACCCTCAGGCACTTTGATGGTCTCTTCTTCATCTGCATTCTCAATGTGGGGAGGAACTAGGAACACAAGCCACCAGGGACCTCAGCAGCTGGCCAGCTTCATCGAGCCTCCAAGCTCACATGCTAAGGCACGAAGGACTCTGGCACTGCAGCTCCCACCATGCCCAGTCTTAACTCATTGCAGACTGTCCCTGCAATGGTAAAGTTCTGAAGTCCTACCAGGAATCCTGCAGCAGACAAAGGACCCCTCCCTCCTTACCTAGGACCTCCACGTGGAAATGCCTCCTGGCCTCCCCAGCTATGTTGCTGGCCAGGCAGGAATAGTGGCCACCATCCTGGGCTCGTGCACGGTTGACCCTCAGCACCCAGCCCCCTGGAAGCACGGAGCAGAGAGGTCTCAGGGCCCTGGTCCAGGCACCAGCCCATCCCAGCAGCGCTCTTGCAGGCCTGGAGCTCTGCCACATTTACATCCATCAGCATTGGGGCACAACGTGTTCCAAAAGCTCCCACCTCTCACAGCATCCATGCCTCATCCCTGACCTGAAAGCACACGCGTGTTCTCACTGGGGGTGACGGAAGATCCATTCCAGTACCAGGTGACTGTGGGTAGGGGAATGCCGGTGGCCTCGCAGGTCAGCGTCAGGGCTCCACGCAGAGACACGCTGACGTTGGTTGTCGATCCTGATCCTTGAATGAACTCAGGAGGAACTGGGGACACAGAAAAAGGATGGACATCCATTTGCAAAGCAGTTGCCAAGACAGCAGAGGATCAAGGCAAACTGAGTAAACCCAGCTTGTACAGTTTGAGGACACAAGCCCAGAAGGACCATGAGCATCATCTGAAGTCATCAACTTTGAAGGCGTTATGGGACAGGTGACTTTCAGTAAGTATGTGCCACCTACCCACACCCCCAAGCCCATGCTTACAGGTGTGATACCAAGCTAGCCACACACCCTGAGCCACCTCAGGCCTTTTCCAGCTCAAGTGCTTGGTACCTTGACCCATGAGGTTTCCCCAAGTCCTTGGAAAGTAGATGACTTCATAAAGTCTGAGATGGTCTGCTCTGATGACCGTGGAAAGAAACTCCTGCCTGATGGAGCCGGTTCTACAGCTATGCCTGGAGCATCCCCCTTCTGACCCAAGATCTTCTCTGTGCTGGGTTGTCCAAGACCTCCACGTTGCCTTGTTGTCTGCACTCATGCTGCGCAACATCACCACCCTCCCAAGCCTGCCTGCATCCATACCACCCCACCACCACCCCTGTCCCACACCCCTACCATGCACTGTAACGTCAAACTCTCTCCGCTCCTGCCCTGCCGCATTTGACACCAGGCAAGCGTAGCGTCCTGCATGGGCCACCTCCGCCTTGGGGATGCGCAGCCGCCTCCCCTGCTCCGTAAGCAGGAGCCCATCCCCACCGGCCACGGGCTGCCCATCCTTCACCCACGTCACCGTGGGCAGCGGCGTCCCCAAGGCCTCGCACTCCAAAACCGTCTCGCCAGCCTTGATGACAGAAACCTTCCTTGGGGCTTTGCTGCTGCCCTGGATCCTCGGCAGCACTGTGGGCAGAGGGACACAGGGTGGAGGCGATGCTGTAGCAACTCCCTTGGCTGCATGCAAGTGGATATACGAACGCCATTGGTCTGGACGGCGGCAGCAGGAGAGCAAAGCAAATCCAAGCGGGTGCAAGTATTGCGTTTGGGCTGCTGGAGTGAAAATTAGCTGCAACCAGCTTGGAGCCAAGAGGAAACCTGGAGGGGCAAAGCTAACCCAGCGAGCAGCATCCTTTCCAAAACACCCAAGGCAGCAAGCAACAGCTGTGAGCTTTTGGGTCCAGCTAGACCTTGCATCAAGAGATATCATGGCAGCTTCAGCCACCCCCACAGCCATCCTCTGTGTCTCTGACACCCCCCGCGGCTCACCATGCACCTCCAGGCGATGCTCCTTGCTGCTGCTGCCAGCAGCCTTCCTGCACTCGCATGTGTACGTCCCCTTGTCCACCAGCCGTACCTTCTCGATGTACAGCATGCTCCCTCCCGTGGACACCAGCTTTGGGCTCCCGGGCTGGGCAGAGAGTGGCTTGCCTGCCAGGGAAGGGGACAACAGCCTTTCTCAGATTCCCAGCAGGACCAATTCCCACCCAGAAGCTGGATGCTGCTCAGCATAAAGCACTCCTTGCTCTGAGAACACCAACATCTGTCTGGTGGGTCAACATGTGTGCGGAGGGATGAGGCTGAGGAGCAGGTTCCTACCATCCTTCCGCCAGCTCAGGGAGGGGAACGGGATCCCACGGCACTCACAGGCCATCCTGACAGACTGCCCCTCCAGCACAGACACGGCAGTGGGCTCTGCCGAGGAAAAGGACGGGGGCACTGCAGGGGATGAGAGGAGAGGAGCAGCTTGCTGATGGCACCAGACAAGAAGAGAGCAGCAACTGCCTGCCAGAGCTCTGTCCTGCTGACTACACACCACCCACAGCTCTGCTGGGCTTCACACAAAGAACCAGCAAGACTGCCCTGCACGGGCTCCATGTGGAAATAATAACCTTGACTCTGCAGCTATTGAGCAAGCGATGCTTTTAAATTGCACGTGGCCCACAGCAGAGGATGACTGAGCATCCCGTGCCAGCCACAAAGGCAAGCCAAGCCCAGGTTGGCCAGACACAGCCTTATTAGGTAGCACTGCTCACTGGGAAGGTTACCTAACTCTTTCCATTATCAGATGCTGTTCTCCGTTGCTCATAAATACAGCTGGCTGGAAAATGGTAACTCCTTCCCATGAGGGTATCAGTTTGTAAAAGAAAAAACCCAACACCCAGAAACCACTGAAAAACAAAAACAGCAGAACCCAAACAATCCACCCGAGCCAGGACACCAGACGTGCAAATGTTTCCCTGGGAAGGGGCCGCAGGAACAAGCCTGGATCAGGAGAACTGGATTTTCTCCACTCCCTGGCCACCTGCCTGCAGGACTTCCACCAACTGGCCTAAAGCATCCCTGAGAAAAGCCAGGCCCTGGCTCAGCCCCCAGTGCTGCGGACGTGCTGAATGGGCTGGGAGGCTGCAAGGATGCTTGAATTGACAGGCTCCGGCTGCTTTCGCTCGGTCCTGGCAGCAGCCTGGGAACCACTGCTGGCATCCTCCCGCTTGTGCAGGGGCAGAGCCAGGGGGACGATACCTGCAGCAACTGCCAGGCTAAGTGCAAAGAAAGGACAGAGTAGCCCCGGCAATGGCAAAAAAATCCCTTCACTCTCCTGCCCATATTTTGGAAAGACACCTCTTCTGCATCGTCACTAAAATCCCCCTCCCAAAAGCAATACTCATGCAAAAAGTGGCTTTTTCCCCTCTGACACCTGTTCTGGTGGGGATTCCCTACCACCTCCAGCTGCATCATTTTGCAGAGCTTTAATATTTTAGGCTTTAATATATTGAGGCAGAGGAATGTCACCAGGAGCACCAGGGTGTGAAAGGGACAGGGTGGGTAGGAGACACCCCAGCGTGGACCAGGCAATATTCATCCACGGGGCAGTGGTTTGCTGGGCTGTTATTTGGGATGGACACAGGGGATTGCACGGCTGGAACTGCAAACGGGGCAGAGGACAGGGGCTCTGCTAAAGCCATCTTCCAGGGATGTGCTCCAAGGGCTGGGACAGCCCAGTTGGCCCCACACAAGGACAAGAGGTCCTGGGGGGAGCACCCAGCTCTCAGGCAGCCTCAGTCATTCCCCCGCTCACCGCAGACTCACCATTCACCTGCAGGCTGTACCAGCGCTCGGTGACACCGGCCACGTTGGAGGCCACACAGCGGTAGCTGCCGGCATCGGAGAGCTGGGCATGCCGGATCTCCAGGTGCTTCCCATCCCTGGACAGGGTCCGACCCAGCCCGGCCGAGAGCTGCTCATGCCCCTTGTACCAGGCGATGTCTGGAGGGAAGCAGGGAGCCGAGCTGTAAGGAACAACGCTGCCGCTCCTCTCACTGAGGGGACCCAGGGGTGCGGGAGCAAGAGCCAAGGGAGAGGACCAGCTCACCGGGAGCAGGCAGTCCTGAGGCCAGGCACTCCAGGGACACTGTGCTGTTCTCCAGGACGGCCAGGTCCACCACACTGGGTTCGATGTTTGGAGGCACTGCAACCCAGCACACACAGTCATCGGCTCTGCGCAGCCCAAGCTGGCTTCACCCGCACAGTGCGGTGCCAAGGGGCACGGCTGAGTGCACCAGAGGCTCTTGGCATGCACCAAGTCCTTGGAGAGCAGTGGCTGGAGCCAGGGCTTGCTCCCCTCTCCGGGACAGGACCACATCACTATGAGATGCCACTGCTGCTCTCCGAGTCATCTAGCAGAACATCTGTTGACCCCTGGGAGGAGACATTCATCCTTCCTGGGGCAGGAATCTCTGTTCCCTGCCTGGTTTCTCACCCAGCACCTTCATCATCATATCCCTTGAAGCTGACCACGGAGTGCTCTGGCCAGAGGGTCTGGGGGTAGACCCTCCCCCAGGAGGCACCCATCAAGGGTGGATACTACAGTTTACCATGGTGTCGGTAGCCATCAGCTCTCAACCTCAGGTTGAGGTTGACAAAGGGCAAGACCCCAACATATCAAGCTAGTGACCCAACACCTCTCCAAAAGCAGGGCCAAGAACACCCACCCCTTTGGCCAGCAGCAGCCTCCCTGACACGTGGGATGGAAAGCAGGTCTTGCCACAGATGCTGCACTCACTTTGCACTGAAACCTGCACCTCCGCCTGGGCCACCCCTGCCCAGTTGCTGCCCTGGCAGACATAGACCCCTTCATGGCCGAGTCCCACACGGATGATCAGCAGGGTCCCACCATCCTCGGACACCACCACACCGTCCTGCTCACTCAGCGGGTGCCCATCCTTCAGCCACCTGTGAGGAGAGGGGTGGGCAGCAAGTCCCTGGTCTGTCCCACCACCACCCGGCCCCCATTTCTGCTTTATGGGGTGAACAGCTGGCAGCAAGGACTGTCCCTTTGTCACTCGGAAAGG